AGCCAGGTCGCGCCCGACCCGCCCGGCAGAAATGGCACCCGGTCGGGACGGCTGTGCGCGCTGTGCTCAAACCGCGCGCTCCTCTGTTCTCACGTTCTGCGTCGTGCGTTGGCTTGGCAGGAGGGCTGGGACCCTCCCGCGGGGAGGGCGCGTCCCCGTGGGCGCCGGGAGCGGTCTCGCCGCGTCGGCCTCCCCTCGCCCAGTGCCCAGCGGTGCCCACGGAGCAGCTGCACGCGGAGGCCAGCGTGGGGGCGAGCGGACGGGTGCAGACCCGAGTTAGAGCCGGGACCGGATCGTCAGGACCCAGACGTCAGCAACCGGAGCGAGTGGGCAGAGGCTCAGCCCCGCCGGGGAGCGCGGTTTCTGCGACCTCGGACCTCGACCCTGGACCCTCGACCCGCCTAGTGTAAGAACTCCGGCCGCAGCTGGGATTCTCTCTAACGCCCTTCTAGGTCTGCTGTGCTGCCTGAAAGGGAGGAGGCTCCCTGGTTTCTGTTGAGGGGATTTAACTGAACGACGTGACATGACCTCTTGCCAAGATCTTTTGTTCATAAAGTTAAATTCAGTGCGACCCATAATTCTACCCAAGACAGACATGGGCCTGAGGGCACTCTTCCCGGGACCTATTGGATAAGTTTCAAACCACCGACACATGCTTCAAAGCACAAATGCTTCCACAAAGGCAAAAATCAGAAGATCTGAAATTTAGCAGTCCAACTACTTGAAACCAACAGGCAATTGAAAAAGAACCAGCTGAACGGATTCCATTCCACTCCAATTTTACAGTGACTACAATTAAAACAAGTGAATACGATGAACTGTAACTTTGCTCCATTTGCTTTGAACATAGAAACCAACTTAGTCATGACACTTCATCCAAGAAACCCTATGTCTTTGCTAATATTTATTTCTCAGAAATAAATTCATGTTTTGTCTTAAAAAATACTGTTTTATTGAAAACAAAGCAACTCTTTGTAGGTTCTGTCTGTTCACCTTGATGATCTGGGATGTAACTGAAAATTAGGTCATTAGTAAAAACTGTCTTGATATTTTTATTTAAGACGTGATTATTATAGGCCAGCCTGTGGTGTGGTGCTTGAGGTGGCTTGATCCCACATGGCTGACTGCCTGGTTTGTGTTCAGATCTAGTAGCTTGAGAAACACGGGTGTCAGTGTCCAAAATTCTGACAGAAGGGAGAAATGGAGGAGGGACTGTGGCATGACTATTCCCCATGGAGGTCCTTTGTCACTTTTTGTCTCTCCAGTGAGTGCACGAGCTCTCTGACAAAATTAAAAACAATGACAATAAAAAGTTACCTAATTTCTCCCCTCATAGTAAATTATAATCAAACGGAAGGTGCGGGGGCCAGCAGGTGTATGGTGGTTGAAATGCTGGACTCACATGACTAATGGCGGTTTGAGTTCCAGACTTGGCTTGAAAATCACACTGGGTGCATGTGTGGGTGTGCACAAAATTCCAAGAGAAGGGATTGTGGGTGTGGCCATCTCCACTGGGGGTGATTTCTCCCTTTTCCTCCTTCCTTTCTCTTCTCTTTAGTTTTTTGCCGTAGGGTATGTGGTCTTGAGGGAGAGAGACAGAGGGAAGGTGAGTACTCAGTCCAGGGTGGATGGCCATGCTGCTAGCCCTTCTCTTCCACCCTCCTCTTGGGATTTTGGGCACGCACATACATACATGTGCCTGGCATGATTTTCAAGCCACTGGGCTGAGACTCAAAGCACTGTTGGCCATGTGAGAGTCCAGTGTTTTACAACCATGCAACCTGCTGTCCCCTTTTTGAAAGTATTTATGAAAGCATGTGTGCTCAAGAGAAGCAAGAGAAAGAGTCACCTTCACTGGTGTCTCAGTCCCCAGCCCCTTTCGCCCTGGCTCCATCTCAGCAGGATCCTAGGCCACACACCCTGCCTGTTTCCAGATCCGCAGGACCAGGGATCTGAACCTGTACTCGACTATGTGGCTTCTAGCACTGCGGTTCAGTAGACCAAGAAGGCAAAGCTTCTACGCTCCTGAAAACGTGGCCAGTAGGTGGTGTGGTAGTTAATGCGCTGTGTCCCATGTGGCAGACTCTGAGGTTCAAGTCCTGGGACCTGTCAGCTTGAAAAAGACACCAGGTGGGTGTGTGTGCATGCCCCAAATCCCAAGAGGATAATGGAGAAGGGACCATGCTATGGCTATTCCACCTGGGGGTGCTTTCTCTCCAGTGAGAGCAGGCACCCTAGTTGCCAAATTAAAAAAAAAAAAAAAAACAGGGTTCCCTGTAGCCTTGGGGTTAAGGAGCTGGACGTCACACTGCCAGCCACATAGTTTCAATCCTGTCTCTGCAGGAACAGCGTATGACACGTGTGCGTGCTTGCCCACAATCCGGAGAGGAGAACGGAGAAGGGACTATGGTGTGGCCACCCCCCCCACCCCCCGTGGGGTGATTTCTACCTTTCTGCTCTGTCTGGCAAGCACACGCGCCCTATAGCAAAAAACTCAAGAAACAAAACAACCCCCCACGGAACTGTATAAAGTAAAATCTCCCCTCACCAGTCCATAACTAATACTACTTAGTAGCAACTGCAGATGACATTTGGAGAGGTGGGCTTCAAAGTATGTCCGGAAAATAGTTCTTGCTGCCTCTGTAGGCTTTTAACTACAGCATCGGCTCCATGCTACTCCTGGTTTGCTTACCATTGCCACATTGAAAACATCTTCCTTAGCCTTTTTACTATGTACTTTGCTTCGGATTTTACTAATAGAGACTACGAGAAAGTGACTCCTTTTAAATGATGGAGCCATGCCTGGCCCACCCCCGTCCCATGGAAATCAGCTCCACTAGCTTGCTTTAACATCCGTGGTCAGTGGTCTCTCTCCTCCGGATGAACGAACAGACCTTGAAAGTCAGATTGACTATTTTGACTGGTTAGTGCCTAAGTTAAATGCACAATGCTTACATGTACCACTGGTTCCCAAAATGCCCTGGACACCCAGCCCCCGATAGTCTTCCAATGACGACTGCGCGCTTTACTTCGTTAGGTCTTCGTGTGTCCCCCATACCGCTACACCCACGCCGCCATGCCTTGTCCTGTGAGCTGCGTCCAGACAGAGCCCGGCGAGGGCCCGCCGAGGCCGAGCCGCGGGGCGAGCGCCGCTGCAGACGGGCAGGTGTAGCTAGCAGGTGCTGAGCGAACGCGGGACGCTTTAGCTGGTGATTTTATACAGTTAAAACCTTAAAGGCCAGCAGTGATTAACGCTAGGGTTCCCCTGCTCCTCCGGGGCGCAAGGGCAGCTGTGTCCGGGGCCCACAGGCCGAGACGTAAACGCCCCTGCTTCGCGACCGGAGCCGGCGGGTCGTGCGGCACACGCAGGCCCCGTCCTCGCACAGCGACGGCGCCCGGAGGAGCAGTCGTCCCGCGGGCTAGGCTCGGAGGGCGGGGTCAGAGGGCACGGGCCACCCCAGCAGCCGGAAAGGCCCGGAACACCGCGCACGACTCCGCCCATTGCGCAGGCGCGGCGGGGCAGAGGCGGTGGGCCGGCTCGGGCGGCCCCGCCCCGCGT